ACGTTGCTGTCTTGATGAAATTAGAATTTCATCGTAATATAGGTACTTTCATATTAAAGTTCAATTTTAGGGATCACTTCACATTCGAAATTCTGCGCTCCTTATATTCTTTCTCATATAGATCTTATTTACGAGTTAATGCATGTCCGCCCTCTGTCAGCAGAGATGCACAATGCTCGCAGGTAAATGATTTTAGTAAAAACATTTTTTAGCAACGAACATATACGTTAAAGACATATACGCAACAACGGATGAATATCGTACATATACTTTGTTGTCGTCATATTTTCTTTATATGCTCAAGATGGAATGATTAATCATTCATTGCTGTTATGTCGTTGGCATCTTGCCGACAGCATAACAGCTATTGTCGACTGTTCGTTTTTGAAATTTTATTAACTGATTGCACGCTTAAGCAATCGTATTGCTGTATTTGTAACCCACTTTGTGTCCCATTTTGATGTCAGTAAATGTATGTAGAATATAAGACAATACATCAGTTTGCTCAATATACTAAATCACGCTTGGTTATTTGGGTTCTTTTGATACAAAAAAATTATAAATGATCAAAAATATTTTTGCCCCAATTATCATTACAATAAATAAACAAAATAAAGGACTCTTTCAAAACATAATAACAAAACTCAATCTCGGGCGAAGTATAAGAGTCAAACATAATTTCTTAAATTTTCATAAAAATATATATTATATTAATAGCGATGAAGAATTGTTACATCACGTTAAAAATTGGAATATAAACTAGTAAATGAGTACGATGTTACAAGTTTCGGCTTCCGGTTTGAGCCCTCTTCAGACATTAGTATAACGAACAAGTAATAGAATCAAATCAATCGTCGCAAATGATCGCATGTTCCGAATCTTATCGATTCGGGTGAGTCTTGGTCTCGAAACATAATTCCCGCATGATTGAATTGTCGTGAAGTATTACAATTATTTCGATGAAATTCTAGTCAATAAAAGGATAAAATTAAAAAACAAACACCATTAGCACAAGGCTACGTTTAAATGCAATAATGCTGAAGATATAACTAAAAGATAATAATCACAATTATTTCATAAACTCACCAGAATTCATGTGTAAGAACTTAAACATAACT